AAGAACGTACAACCTCCATCCTTCCAATACTTGCAACCGTAAAATTTCTTACCAGGATTTGTTGAAGTCCGTGATCTGCGTATTACAGCTCTCTTGTTACAATCACAAAAAAAATTGGAAGGCATCGAGAAGGAAGAAGCAGAAGACATCGCTGTTGGCTCTCTCTTTCTCTCTCGGTCGAGCTTAGGTCAATTAGGGTTACACAGGATCGATTTTGGGGCAAATCGATTTTAAGGAGAAAACTTATACCTGATGTGGCAATTTCATTTTCCACGTGACTGCTCCAATTTTTTTTTTCTTTACAATCATGCCACATCGGATAAAAAAATGCCACGTCAAAATTTAATCCCGCTGCCGGATAAAATAGGACCATAAATGATTAAATTGACAAGTTATAGGACCTAAATTGAAAGTGGTCAATATAGGGGTGGTTTTTTGGACTGTGGCCAAGTTATAGGACCAAAAATGAAATTTTGCCATTCAAATAGCTTGAGTTAGTCTAAGTGAAGTACCTCGTAAAACAATGATCTCGGTATCAAAAATATGAAAATCGGGCAAAGAACCATTCAAACACGCACGCGAGAGTGAAACGTCTAAGAAAAATGGGTGAAGGAGGTAGAATCAACACAGAATAATATTTTCGGAGGCTTTAACAGCTTGAAAAGGTCTTAGAGGTCGTAAATGCCGTTTCCAGCCGAAAAATTTGGCTGAAAAAGTCATCAGTCGCTGGAATATTTTCCCGACAGCCAAAAAATATTCACGGGGGTCGCCGGGGATCGGTGGTTCGTCCGATGGCTTGGCATGGCTCAATGGTGGTCCAGATGCGGTTCGCATGGGCGCGGAACACGGCTTGATCGCGATGCACGAGTGGCTCGTGGGTGTGCCTGGTTGCGAACTAGGTGCACAGTGTTGGTAGGTCACGAGACCTCGCTAGCGTGCGAGCTCGGTGTGGCAAAGTCGCGAGGTGAGGTCTGCACACGAGAGAACGGTCGCCGGGACGCGAGATGGGAGACGGGTCGCAAGACGCAGGTCGCGTCGCGAGTGCTCGGGACAGTAAGTGCACAGGCCCGCTCTCGCTGTGCAGTCGATTTTGCGAGCGCGCGGGCACTCTCCCGCCGTATCGCGAAGTGAGGCTCGGGTCGCGAGTGCCAGGTTGTTGGGTCGCAAACAGGAGCTTGGCACGCAAGTGCTGAGAGATGCGTAGGACTGCACGGGCATTGTCGGGTCTGCACGAGTGTCCTCGAGTTTATACGGGTCTCCTTGCGCTGGGGGTGAGATTTTTCACACTTAGCCATTTTTCGATAATTTTCAACACCTAAATCTCGTCCATGCTTCCTGGCATTAACTTGATTAAATTTTTCAGCTTGGCACTAACAGGTCGGTACTGCCGAGCGGGTCAGCTTAGGCCTCTTCTCATCAATTTCCATACTTAGCCAAAATTCAACACATCTTCAACCAAATCTCGACCCGAGTCTCGTTTTCTTCTTTCAGTGTCTCATGTGTTGTGTGCTTTGCGTAACTATTTATTTTTGATAAAAAAAATGGAAAACAAGAAAGAGCTATGAATCGTTCATTTTAACGTCTTGAGTTCGACATCTCAAACAAAAATTAATCTGGATCCAAGAAAAAATGTTGATCATGCCACACCTTTGTACTTTCTAAGAGTAGTCGAGACAGTAGAATGGAACAAAGTCAGACTAAATAAACTCTCGTGGCCAAGTTCTTGTGAACCGAACGCGGATATCAACAATCACGGAGAGAGGAGATAGATATTTACGAACCAAAGCCACATAATCAATTTCCAGGTATGCAAAACAATTTGCGGAGCACCACTGGTAAAGTGATAGGCTCATCCACAGGTACAAATGCAGCCTAGGTCAGCGCTAAGAATCAATCTCGGTCATCATATGCATTATCTCGGATGTGTACTCAACAATCTCAAGAGTCGAGAGCATGGGTGTAAATGCACTAAACTCCTCCAAATAGTCACGATCCTCAGTAACACGAAACGACGACCCGAAAGGCATGAGAACCACTTCATACTCAACACTGGGAGTCGAATAATCAATCAAAGGCAACTTTGGGTCGACGACATTGCATAATGGCTTGGAATCCTCCTCAACACCATCTACAACATCATGCTCAAACCCATCCTCCTCCTCACAATCATCCTCCCGAGCACTATCAAGTCTGCTAGAATCACCCAACTAATGAATAGGCACACTCGAATCCTCCAATAAATTCTCTCCCATGCCATACACCATATCACCACTCGGTTCTATATACTTATTTTCAACAATAGAATTTGAACTCAAAGCACAATCATTAGAAGAGAGGTTTGACATTGAATGCAATTCCGATCGTCAAGAGAGGATATTCTTTAACAACCAAACATTGAGGTCCTCACTCAGGTCGAGAGATTGTGTTCCATCCTAAACGAGAGTGAGGCTAATCTCTTTTAAGGAGGCAAACCTATCCATCATAGCTTGAAACTCGCCTTCTAACTGAGTACACTCTCGAATGATCCTCGTCGATAGAGAATAATATTTTCCAAGCGTAATTTGAGATACGTCCAATTCGAGAAAAACTACCACAATAGAGTCAAACTTCGTGAATGTCGCTTGAAGAACAGATGGAATAGGTATATAACTCCAACTGTGAAACTTCTCAATGATCGACATGAGGCTCGCAAGTGCCTCTTGTGTGTTCGTTAAAACCTTTTGGTGACGCTAGGAAGGCACAATCATTGTCGAAAATGAAGCTTCAGACCTCGATGTACAAGGTTGGTCAACAGATTGGTGGTTGTATGATGAATAAGATGGAGCATAGGACTCGGTTTTTTTGTTTTTCGAACATGGGAGCCATTGAAGCACGAAGAGATTGATTGCACTTCTTAATTTCATCCAAACGGCTTTGAGAAGATTCTCGAGTCGGCTCGGATAGAGGTCTTGAATCATAATAATCGGGGGCGGAGGATTGTAGTAATCCGGAGGTAGAGGATTGTAGTAAGGCGTCTCGTCATGACCCTGAATGCTCTAACCATATTCGGCTCGAGATGTCGTGTAAGAATGACTTAGGCCATACCCATGGGATGTAGAGTATATATCCATCATAAGAATAAGAATAAGAAGGTGAATAGCTCGGATACGAACATAGTGACTCTCCATAATATGGGTACATCTCATTTTGGTAGTTGTCGGAGTATCCACGAGACGAGCTTCCGACATAAGAATAGTCATACGGGTCCATCGAATCTCTTCAAGCGAAGTACCTCGCACAAGAACGACAAACAAACCAAGACACACAAAACCAAGACGAAAAATATGCAAAATACGAGAAAAGGAAAAAAATTACAACTAGCACGACACATTTATAAAAGCTTGCTGTTACGGTAAACCTGCTAGGGAATCGTGTTCAGTGACAGACTTATCTTTTGTTCTTGTGCTAGTTGTCCTTTGGTCTAGTGCTAGTTGTCTTTCTCACAAATAATTTTTTAGATTAATTATTTAATTATTTTTGTTCATATGAGTGAACATTAATTATTTCTAATATATTTGTTGATCTTTGTTATTTCACCTGACGAGACTTGTGCTAAGAAATTTAATCCGTTACATTTGAATATTTCAATAGAGTTGCTATCACGAGCATATGACAAAGATTTGAATAGTTCAACGGAATTGCGATTACTAGCATATAATATGCAAAAACATGTGTTCTTCTTATCCGAACTGTCGGATCCTGTCACATTGCAAATTGGACAAACTCGAACTAATATCCTGTCCACATGAGAGCCATACTCTAAAATATAACGTTCCAAAGATGTTTGTGAAGTGCTTATAAAAATATCATTGACAGTTTGAGAAATGAATTGTAATATATATATTATTGTAGTTAAAGAATTGATGATAATTTATGTTTTTGTTTCTTCGCATATAATTTTCAACATTTTTAGTAAGTTTATTTTCTTTTTCTAAGTTATATATATTTGCATCTTTAGTTTTGGAATAAATATTACAAGATTCAATAAAAATTGCAACAGTTATGTTTCAGACATTAGTATTTTCAGATTGGTTTATACATCAATTTTAACTGTTACTTTTGTTATTTTCGTGAATAATAAGTGATAGGAATTTACCAAGTAACTCTGATCTTTAGGACGTCACCGGTCCTCTCCGAATATTCTAGTTGGTAAGTCAGGTATCTCGATCGCCCGAATGAAGCTGATGATCTGCAAAATAAGGGCCGAGAGGTGTTCCCGGCATCACCACTCCGATGATCAAGGTAGTACCAAAATGTGGGAAGATGTTGTAGTTAATGCTTAAGATATCAAATAAGAGAAGAAAAGTTTCTAATCATACATCACTCCTATATAATTTTATTTTATAGTTGTACCAAAATATTATTATAAAAAAGTTGTATGCTAATTACTATAGAATAAATTATAAAATTATGAAAAAATATATTTTTTGTCTAATAATATTTAAAACAAGTGGCCAACCCGTAATATTATGAAAAGATTCATTGGGTAAAACCATATTAAATGATTATTCCATATTAGGGTAGATGCAAGAGTTGAAGATAGTCTAAAAAATTGTTCAAGAAATACACTTAACTGATTATTCAACCTCCATATTATATTTTAGTTTTTTTAAAAAAAAATCCTTTTCCATTCTCCAATCGAACACGTTGAGTAGTTTCTCATCATAGAATATTACCAACTACCAATGAGAGCATATTGAAGATCCGATCAAGAAAATTAATTTCTGAACATGTAGTATTATTTTATCCAGATAAAGTGGACTTGGGTTGGGGTCTCATTAAATGCTGCCCCTTCAACAGCCAACTGAATATGGGCCCTTCTAATCACAACTCACTTATATCGTCACAACTCAACCCTATTTGCTAGATTTGGCTATAAATAGCAAAGCCAATCGAACACCAAATGGCAACCAAAACAAGTAACATAAGCAAACATATATACAAGTGAGAGCAATAAGAAAATGGCTTCTAAAGCAATAGTCTTTCTTGGCCTTGTTTTGGCTATGGTCCTTCTGATTTCCTCACACGTGGCGGCTCGAGATCTTGCAGAATCTTCCGATACCGTCGATACATGTAATGTTCATAACGTTGGAAAAAACCATCGTATCAAAATAAAATGGAACTTTCGAACAGTAATTTATTTCCAACATAATATTTTAGTTTCGTTCGCCATCGAAATTAACTCAATTCCATAGAAAAGTTTGATTCTAATTTTTTCGTAGAAATATGACAATTTTAAGAGTCGTTAAAATCATAATAACTAAATCCTCCCATTGATCAGCTAAGAAAACGGAGAGCACAAAGGAGGCTGACCAGTACTATGGCGGCGGCGGTTATCCTGGCCATGGAGGCTACGGCGGCGGCCATGGTGGCTATGGAGGCGGCCATGGTGGCTACTGCAAGTTCGGATGCTGTGGCCGGAGGAGGTACTATAGTGGCGGTTGCAGGTGCTGCCAATATGCCGGTCAGAAGGCGGATGTCGAGCCATGAAACTAAGATACTGCTTTGCTGCATAAAGTAGTGTCTTGTGTGTGAGCGTGTGTGTGAGGTGTGTTTAAGAATGTAAAAAGAATAAAATTATGAATAAAAAAGCATGCATACGACGGAGCATGCTCGTGATGATATATATATATATATATTGTGCGGGTATGTATGCTCGTTTCGCTTTAGTTTGCTTGAAGATGTAACCATGGACGTGTGTTGTGTTGTGTTGCATGTGAAGTATTGTTGTTTAATGAAGAGTTTCTTGTGAATCTTCATAGCATTTCTTATGAGATTTTCCCAAGTTATAGGGTAAACTTCATCTAAGAGAGTGAAAAGCAAGAATGAATGGAGAAAGATTGAAGGATGCAGAAGACACCTTGTGATTTGATCATTTGAGTTTTAGGGTGAATTTGGATATCAGGGAAAGTGTAAGTCAAAATTAATTTTGTTCAACCATCTTGCATTTTATCAACTTCATTTTACCAATGTAGATTAATTTTCAGGCAAAAGTCATTAAATATTGCTATATATTTTTATTTAATTTTATTTCAAATAAAGTGCATTAAATATTCGTTTATATTTTTATATAAATTTATATTTTTATTCACATATATATTTAACTATTAATTATTATTTTGATTTTGGTAATTTTATACTCACGTCAATTTTATTTATTTTATATTTTATATTAATTCACAATATAAATTAATTTTATATTTTATATTAATTCACAATATAAGTTAATTAGTCTCTTACTCAAATATCTTTTATCCAGAGAAAACTAAATTCACATTCATCCCCGCCCTTAGAAATAAGTCAAAGCAGTTGGACATTTTTTTTTTTTTACCAATAATTTTTTATTGGAATTACGATTGAATACAAAATTCTTCCAATAAACGACTATTTATTTTATTTTACTTTTTAGACCTCAATGTTATCTACACAATTAAAAAAATAAAAATGAAATAACTATACATGTTCCAACAAAATTAACAATTCATCCATTCGCATATATTTAACTATCAATCATTTAAATTGACTATTTTAGTAGTTTCTTTATCATATATGAGATAATGATGTATTTTAGAAAATATTTTAGTAGTTACTATGCAACGTTTATTGGAACTGTTTGTAACTGGAGTGAAATGAACAGGAGAGAAACCGCAAAAGCTATTTGTACCGTATAAAAGCCCAACAAAGTCAAAACACAGTGGCGAGGTACAACTTTCTAATCCCAGAATTGGAGAAACTACAACAGCCCCGATCCTCGACTTCACACCAAATTTGAGTTAGAAGAAACTCCATTGATTCGCGATCTGAGCTCAATTTTGCATTTCCAGCTTTCAGTACTGCTCGATCGGTTGTTTTATCATGAGTTATCGGAGGTCAGTATGAAATGTTAAATATGTTTAGCATTTGCATTTGTAATTTGTGAATTTGTTCTTTAGTTAATGACGTTAAATGATGTTATCATGATGATAGAAGAGTACTGGAAATCGTTTCACTGTATGTTGTCAGGGAGATGATTGCGAGATCTTTTTGGGAGAAGGAAAATTAGGTGAAAATTAGTGTTTGTTTGGAAAATTACTCATTGTTTCTGGAGTCCCTTTTGCAGTTGAGATTGTGAAAAAGGAACTCTAACCTGGATTAGTAAGAATGTGCCTCTAGTACTTTGCCTATGGTTGATTTTGGTTGCATCTTGTGCTGCATCTATATGAAATGGTTTGGTGAGGCCATGCCTTTTTCATTATCTAAGCTAGGGGTGGCAAATCTTGCTAGTGTGTAGCGTTCGTCGTTCACTATTGTGTTTTCGTGTTATCAATTTTACATAATCATATGTATGATGCGAAATCTGAATTTTACTAAATTTTATACTTCATGTTTTCGTGTCATGTTTTGTGTTGGTGTTGTGTCATCACCTTTTGTTCATTTGTCTCTATTGTTGTGTTTTCCAATCGTGTTGTGCACGTGTTCGTGTTTTATGTCGTGCTAGCCGTTGCCACCCCTAATCTAAGCTTTCTTTAATCATTTGAGACATAGGAAGCAGAGGAAGTAATCAATTGGATGTCAAGGCCCCTTTCGAAAACTATGAACTTCTCTTATAAATTGGCACCTTCAATTTGATGCTTTGCATGCATATCCATAATCTGGAAGAGACACGTGTATCTCATAACCCATGTAGGAGTATAATGTAAAATCTTTTTCTATGACTATCTTTTTTCAGTAATTTGAACTCTGACTCATACATTATATCTTTTGAACCCTTATATTCTGATGGAATAATTTGCACACAGGGATAATCGAGCCTCACGGGCTTCACTCTTTGATAATATGGATAGCCTTGAAGAGGGTGGTCTTAGGTCCTCTACTTCGTACTCAGGTGGTATTGATGATCATGACAATGAAAAAACTGTGGACAGTTTGCATGACAGAGTCAGCTTTCTGAAAAGAGTGAGAATCCTTTTCTCCTGCCTCCCTATCCTCTCTTGTTTGTTTCTTTTTTGATTGTCGCTGGTTATGTTTGTGTTATCATTTCCTTTTACTATGCATGCTTTCGCTGTTTGTGACAAAATCAAATTTAAGAGACGATAGGACACAAATCACCTTGCATATCATTAGTTCTGCATTTTCACTCTTGCTTACATTCTAATTGTTGTCTTTCTTATCATAAGATATGAAACATTCATCTATCAACATTGGATGATCTGTTGAAGTATGATATTATATTCCACCTAAGTGCTACAACTGGTGGTATATGAGGATTCTTTTGCAGACTGCAAAAAGTAATCGTTCCTAATCCATGAGCAGTTTTGTGGCTGTACTGCTAATAGGAAATGGTGTGTGGCAGATAAAATTGGGTATTTTTTAATATTAATATTCATATTATTTTAGCATCATTTTCTTCTTTTCCAATTGTACATGTCAAAGACATAACATCATTTCGATAAAATGTCTGACAAAATCAGCTTCGTTTTGATGAAAATAAATTATGTGGCATGTAAAATTTGGAATTTAGGTTTCCAAGAAAATAGATGAGATTGAATAATATCTAATCACAATTCTTGCATGTAGTAGCCTTAGATTCCCAATGAAAACTTTATTTATTTACAAGAACTATCTCTACATAGCATTTCCTTAGTTCCTAAAATTTTGTGCTAAATAAGAAAAGTTAAAGAAAAAAAACAAAACAATGTAACTGAAGTACCGAACTGACCAATTAGAATACTGCAATGCGTATCCCTCTTTAGTCCTTTCTTGGATAAAGATGAGTACATTTCGGGGTATGCCCAAGCTGTGGTTGAAATGAAATTATTCTAGTATTTATTTGAAAAGAGAATTAGCAAAAGTACAAGATATCAAAATGGGTGTAATAATTCCATATGGATGGATTGCTAAAGGCTATTCTGGGGAATTGCACACGTGTGCATGAGCCAGTGACATCTAATGAATAAATAACTTTATGGAACCTTTTAGTAGACCTATAATGCNATCATATTATTGAAAATTTTTCACTAAATTTGTAGGGCCACTTACCAAAAGGAAGTGAATCCCCTCCAAAAATGGGCATATGCTGCTTGAAGTGTGGAGAGCACACGGTATTCTTTAGTAAAAGGCGAAAGAATAGTTCGCTATGTGCTCACCACGCAGCTGCGTAATGCCCTGTGTAGTTTGCCTACCCTTTTTTGACTGGTACTAGAAGAAAGCCTTATTTGTCTTTGACAAAAAATATAAGTGGATCTAGCATAATTGTATGTGCTAGGTTCTTTGTGCTACGATTTGTTGATATTTTGTATCCTGTGATTCAAAATCTTTGTTACTGAGTTGTGAAATAGCATCATTGTTGTAGGATTGAGAATCCTGTGCTATATGCCTATATCGAATCATGTCTACTCTGATAAGTGATGTCATGTGGTAATACCATATTGCTTTTGATTGTATTTGTTTGTTTAAATGTAACTATATATAACAGTGGAGAGTGATTATTATATTATGTAATTTCAGTGTACATGTCAAATCAATACAGAAGTTGCCAAGTGTTGATAAATCTGAGTACTAGGCCAAACTGGTATATCGATTCGGAAATTGGAATCCAAGTCTAGGATTTTGATTCTTAACACAAACATTACATCAGTTTTGTGTTATTAGCTGCCGGCTGTCTCATCAAGTACTTTTAAACGTGGAATGAAATGGTAACTCACTTGTTTGTTTTCATGACTGAACAATTTAGCCTCATAGGATTAGGGAAGAAGCAAGTGCATTATATTATTTGTCCTTATTTATATCTCTATCAAGTTAAGTTTCACTTTTTCTTTGTTGACACTATTGGCAGTTGACGGGAGATATACATGAGGAAGTGGAAAGTCACAACCGTATGTTGGATCGAATGGTATGTTAATTGAAGGACGCTATGTTCAGTTTGATCACTGCAATTAAGAGAACACTACAAAAAAATTTGTATTGCAAAATTTTGCACATGTAACTTTTTTGTCTGCAGGGAAATGAGATGGATGCATCCCGAGGGATTATGTCCGGAACAATTGATCGTTTTAAAATGGTATCTAAATATATGCTCCAAATTTGTATCAGTTGCAACTCTTGTTTGTTTATGTTTCTGTTTCTGAAGTCTCAGTTTATGTTCTCTTTTAGGTGTTTGAAAAGAAATCAAATAGGAGGATCTGCAAACTCGCAGCATATTTTGTTGTTGCTTTCTTTGTGCTGTATTATATCATTAGGTAAGCATCTTTTCGTGCATCTGATTCTATCATTTCCGTCTGTAGTGATCCAGGTTTAGTAAAAGAAAAAGTGATTAGTAATTACTTGCCTAATTGTTATTTTGTGCCCCTGAGTAACTTTTAGCTTGTGGAGTGGGTCATAATTCACATCTTATATTGCCTAAAAGGGTTTGATATTTTCAACTTACTTTAGGATACATGAAATATTACTTTTTCATTATGTAATAAATTTGGGGAGTATTAAGTATCAAGGAAACCTAATGGGAGGAGTTGTAGCAGTAGCTCGCAGCCAACACCTTTTCAGACGTTTTATGAAGTAAATTTGTCTCTCTCTCTCCTCAAATGATGATTAGTCTCCGCTTCTTTTGCAGGGTTCTCTTGTATTTCTCGTATGGCTAAACTGTTGGATTGCAGTAAGTTCTAAGACATGCAACTGATCAATGTTTTGCACGTTGTTCTGGGCCGTTCTTTCCAAGTTATGCATTCCGATTTCTGAATATGATGGCTAAAACAATAAACCCGTTTTAGGTGATAGACAATTTTTTTCGTCTTGGTCTTTATGTGGTGTACTTATTAGCAGATCTAGATTGGTTACCCCTTTTATGATATGGGATTAAACTAAAGTGATATTCTAAAACCAGAGGTTTTCCATGTATTGGTATCCCACTTCAATTATATTTATTCTTTTCTTTTTGTGGTTGTGTCAGCTCACAGGAACTTGTGAATATATTATATATTATAGACCGTTGGTGTCTTTTTGTGGTTCTGCAAAAAATGCAATTTTGCTCAACTAACACGTCGTACATGCAGTCACTTTTATCTCCATTGTATAGTTCACTCTATCTATTTCATCTTCATTAAGTTCATTATATAGTTTACTCTATATAAATTCTAAATATTTTCTGGCATTCAAATATTATAAATTGCATTAGAAAATTTCAACATACACAAGAGCTGTAGTATTTAATAGTTAATTTTTCAAAATGTGTATAGTAGCAGCTTTTACAACTGCTGGAATAGCATCATTAAAATTGATTCTAATAAAGATTGTATATTTCAATGAAAATTATACATTGAACTATTCGAAAAGCCGATGTTTCAGTCGAAATTGTATGTCAATGAAAACTATACAATGAACTATTGAATAAAAATTGCATGAACCGTTGAGGAAGTGGGTCATGCCGCAAAGAACAATGAAAGCAATGAACTCGACGATGACCCATTTGAACGGGATTGTGGAGAAGCTGAGGAAGTAAACGAGCTCGATCATGAAGTCGCTCACTCGCTGGCAGTTGAGGATGGTCTCGATTGTCCAGAAACCAACGTCTTCCTCGCAATTGCAACGGGACTCACCATCGGTTTCGTTGTCGGCTGATGAAGGGACGAGGAGGAGTAGAAAGGCTACTAGTAACCCCTGTGCTGATAATGCCTTTGGAGACATTTGTGTTATCTAGTTCATCAAGTGTTTGTCCCTTTTGGTCCGAGTGGACAGCATTTTTCTTTCTTTCTTTCTTTGCTATTGTTGTTCTTTTTTAACTTGCTTTAGCTGGCTTTGTCACAAATGGGGTCATGGAGAGCAGGGTTTGAGATGTTTGGTGTTTGTTACTCTTCTGCAAACAGATATTGGTAATTGTATTTTGATTCATATTCAGTAAGTTAGTGTGTGTGTGTGTGTGTGGTAAATGACATACATGTGCTTCAGAGTAAGGGTAATTTGATAAAAGAAATATGAGAGGAAAAAAGGATCTGTAATGTGATGAAAACATAAAACTATTATTCAGATATTGCACATAAAATCTGTAATGTAATCAGATGGAGAATGAAGAATTTAGCAACAAAAAAGGTATACAATTATCAAAGTTAACAGAACAAACAAGTAAATTAATACACACATATGATCTAATGGATTTTAAAGAAAAAAAAGAAGGTGGAAGGAGAAAAGTACTCAAAGAAACCAAAAAGGCAGTTATAAAATCGAAAAAATAGTTACCTCACAAAATGCACACTTGGCCTCTAATTTTCAGATCTTATTACATGCAAACATATAAACCTCTGCAATCGAATAACTTAAACGCCGCGCGCATAAGTAACACGGAGCACTGCGAATATCTGACACTGTTGAAGAAAAACAAACCCAAATGACAAAACCCACTAGAAAGAGGAAAACAAATCAAAATTATAAAAAAATAGCACGAGAAAGAATCGACCAAAAAGATTCGATTTTTAGCTTCAGGGTCCTTCTAATACCCTCTCTAAACCCAGATTCATCACTCTATACACAATCCCACCACGCAAAAACATAAATAATAATAATAATAATTTTTTTTTTATGCTCCTAAATGAAATTAATAAGAATTTTATTAGGTACCGTCTCTTTTCACCCAACTCTCTCTCTCCCTCTGCTAAATTTCAAGAAGAGATTTTTCTTGAGAGAAGAGTGGGCAAGACAGTTTACATACAAGGTATCACTGAATTTTCTAAAAAGAGAGAGGGAAAGAGAGATTTTCAAGCTCCCAACGTTAGAGCTATGCAAAGGGATCGAGTAAAGAAAAAGAAAAAAGAAATGGGAGAGAGAGAGAGAGAGAGAAGATAAAAAGGGCAGGTGATGAAATTGACCAAAAGAAAATAAAGAGAATTGATGTGTAGAGCAAGAAAGGATGACGTGGGGAACGGAATTTGGGGTGGAAAAATCTGAAGTGGTTTGAGTGGGTCCCGCAGGGGAGTTACATGCAGAGAACTTGGACTAACATTTGATTTGTTCTAGGAAATATAAAATAATAAAATAAAATAAAATAGAAGAATCTTGTGCTGTCAACCCTCACACCGCATAAAAGTATGTCGTCAACCTTTTTTCGTCTTTTTTTAAAATTATTTTTTGCTGCCACGCAGATATTTCCGTTGTTTGATTTTTTATTATTACTTTTGTTTGTTTATGTTGAACAGATATATTTCCAATTCCTCATGACTCATCCAGTTCGGCACGTGGAAGGAGTCATGTGTGTATTGTGTGCGTCTATGTGTGTGATTTTTTGGTAACTAATATCTTCCATGCTCACACTTAGATGTCACGCAATAGGTAAGGGTGAAATTAAAAGTTAGCTCCTCATACAATTGCAATTATTTTAAATCGTGTGGTAAAAATAAATTTTCGCTTATAATCAATATAGATTTGTAAGTCACATATTAAAACTTGAATAACATAATTATTCAAACCTGGATCACCCAGGATTTAATCAACCCGAATCTAGAATCAGTCTGAGTGTGTGCTTCAAATTGAATAACAACAAAACCGGTCAAATCCNTTTTTTTTCCCTACATCCATTAGAATTGGGTAACCTAGATACGATGGGGGCAAACAAATAATCGTTCGATGAAATTAAGTTGGAAGATTAATTATTCTTGTGTAAGATATGATGCAGGAATATTTTACTAATACTAATTAACGTGGGACCCTAGTGTTTATATTAATGTTAGACTTAACTAAAAATTAATTAATCACATTTTATTAGAATACTGCAATGCGTATCCCTCTTTAGTCCTTTCTTGGGTAAAGATGAGTACATTTCGGGGTATGCCCAAGCTGTGATTGAAATGAAATTATTCTAGTATTTATTTGGAAAGAGAATTGGCAAAAGTACAAGATATCAAATGGGTGTAATAATTCCATATGGATGGATTGCTAATGGCTATTCTGAGGAATTGCACACGTGTGCATCAGCCAGTGACATCTAATGAATAAATAACTTTATGAAACCTTTTAGTAGACCTATAATGCCTGATTGCCTGTGTTGTTTTTTTTTTCTTTTTTTTTTTTTAAACCATCCTGGGGTGGGGTTAGGTCAGACCCCCAACCTGTATATATATAATTTTCCTAAATAAACTGGAAAGTCACAGATCTACAGGTACAAAATTTGAAGTACAACAAGTCAAACAAAAGGAAAATCAAAAGCGAAAAAACAGCACTACAAAGCTGGCAATAACTACCTGTAACATGACTATATCATCTCTTGGTCCAGGAAGAGTCTAGGCAAAAGAATCAGTATCACGGGGGGCAGGTGCACCAAGAGGTAAGACCGGCTATCCAAATTTGAATGAAGGGTATCTCATCTGGTCCATCCGTATAAGGGTGCGGAGGCGAAGAGGAATATCGTCGGGATAGAGAATGCGTCTTTGGGGGGTGGAGGACCCGATGCCTGCGAGGAAGTCAGCAGGACGGCTCCCCTCACGGAAGATGTGTGAGATCTTAAAGCGAATCAACCGAAGTGTGGCCCTAATACGCAAGAGCGAATGCTGAATCTGCCACGTGCCCTGATGGTCAGTGGTCAAGAGAGTAATGACAGCAGCAACGTCCAACTCAATCCAAATGTGAGAGGAGATCGAGGTAGCAATCTGAAGACCGATCTGAAGCGCCTGAATCTCTGCGTCGTAGCTTGAGTAGGCTCGAAGAGGGGCATGAAAAGCGGTAATAAGATCCCCGCTATGGTCCCTAATCAGACCCCCGCCTCCGGCGGCTCCGGTAAGTCGGTCAAAGGATTCATCAGTGTTCAGCTTAACCAAGGAGACTCGGGTCTCAGCCCAACAACAGCTCTGGGGAGTGGATGCTGGACAAGCGCCAGTGGAGGTGGTGCAAGGTGGTGAGGAAGCGTGCAACCTATCCAGTCTCTATGCGTGAGTCTGCCCAAAGCTGTAAGGAGAGAGAGATGTCAATCAACCTGCAAAATAATACCCTGTGTAGTTTGCCTACCCTTTTTTTAATTGTACTAGAAGAAAGTCTTATTTGTGTTGACAAAAAATATAAGTGGATCTAGCATCATTGTATGTGCTAGGTTTTTTGTGCTAGGATTTGTTGATATTTTGTATCCTGTGATTCAAAATCTTTGTTACTGAGTTGTGAAATAGCATCATTGTTGTTGTAGGATTGAGAATCATGTGGTATATCTAGAGCTGTTAAGCGAAACGAGCAGCTTGTGAGGTTGGCTCGTTAAGATTCTAGTTTAGCCGAGCTCCAGCTTGCTTAAAGCTCGTTTCATTAATGAGCTGGACTCTGCTCGATAAGGCTCGAAAAGAGAAGTTTTACATAATTTTCTATAGTTCAACTCATTAAAACTCTGGATCGGCTCGTGAAGGCTCGTTAATATTAATAAACGAGCCTAGCTCGAGTTTGATTTATGGCTCGTTAAGGGCTCGAGCACCCTGAGCTCAAACTCGACTCGGCTTGGCTCGTTTACAGCCCTAGCTATATCGAATCATGTTTCCTCTTATAAGTGATGTCGTGTGGTATTACCATGTTTGTAACGCCCCGTTTGATTATTGGATATTTGAGAATTATTTATTATTATTATTTATCTTTATTTGTTGTTATTATTATTTATTGAATGCTATGAATTATTAAATATCTAATTTCTATTATTTGCCAAATTGTAATTAAATGCCTAAGTGTCTAAATGTTATCATTATTATTTAAATAAAATGTGTATTTGTATAATTGTTAATATTATTATTTATAAATTGATTTGTGTGTATTATAAATATATAAGTAGAACCCGATTTATTAATTTAATTTGTCGAGCCCGAAAACCAGCCCAGCCAAAGCCGAACCGGCCCAGACCCGGATTTCCGCCCCGTTAGTGCGCGTGTGTGAATTATCTGGGATAATAAGATAATTAAACCCTATATCTTGTACATCTCGCTCGAAATATTAGGAAAGCACGCACGCCGCAATCTCAAATCTCACGCCCCTCATCTCTTTCTCCCTTGCTCCGATCAACATCGCCCGCTCTCTGAATAAAAAATCTCCCGTCGTCATCAACTCCAGCCCTTCCAGCGAGATGAGCGCGCGACTGAATCGCTTC